GAAAGATAATCTTTCAGCTTAATTGTACATGCTATGGAATATAACACAGGAAGAACAAAACTAATTATTAGACATTCCAAACAGTTACTGCACAAAAACAAATAAGATCAAGGCTAGGTCTTACTTCTTGTAGTGTAAATCCACTACAATTTAACACAAATTAACAAAAATGCAGAATTTGTATTCAAAGCTGCATCCTCAGATCACTATCAATCAAAAAGGGAAATTTTATTTTATTTTCTAACTGTAAGAATTGAGCTATTCCACATTCTATCAAAATTTAATAAATAATCCTTATAACAGAGTGGCTAACAATACAAGCTTCTACAGTTCATATTCAACATTTTGTCCTAACAAAGAATTTACGTTTGCAAAACGGTATGTGAAAGACCACCTACTCTGCTTACACAGATTGTAAATTTAATATTTTATTCTTATTCTTATGCTTTTGCACATGAGGATGAACAAACTAATTTCCTCTATTTCAAAAAATTTGTGTCATAAACCTTACAAAGCATCTTACTACAGTGATGGTGAAGGGGAACACAGCTTGTCAGAAACAGCACAAGGTGTGTATTTTCAAGCTATGCAGCTCAGAAAGAGACAGACAACTCTGCAGCCTGCTCACCTCCTTGACAGATACGTGACATTTTACACACAGGGTTTTTTCATGTAGAAGAGCAAGAAAGAACTTATAATCTTGCCTTTAATGTATTTCAAATTACAATAGTCACTAATTTTCCATATATCCCCAGACTGTAACATGTATAAAATGAAAGTTTTTCCAATATATTACAGAATTTGTAAACTCATCTTCAGTGAAAGCAAAGGCTGTGCTTGAAAATCTGCCATTTGACAAGAAGAAAACCAGTTCAACACTTATTACTCATTTCAAAACTATGCACTTACTACAGCTTGTCCAAAGACAACTGCAAGCTGCTCAGAAGCAAGCAAGTCTCTTAGAAGGAAAGGGCAATCTTTACCAATCAGTAAATACACCTATTAAAAAAACAAAAGCAAACCAGATAACACATAAGTAATTCAGCATACTTCTCTGTATTTCAAACATACAACTTGACTATTTCACCCATGCTGCATGCTGCTGCCTTGCCTCACAGAAGTTACTACACTATCAGATCTTCTGTGAAAGGTATGCTGCTCCCTGTTTCACTTAAGTAAGTCGGAGCATTAACGACCTACCATACGTACACTGACTGAGCAAACTTTGCTCTTTTTAAATCAAACTCACACAAGCAACTCTAACAGCACAGGTGAAGGAGTCCCAGATGTTTCCATAAGCAAAACTGGATCCAGAAAATAATGTGTCCAACTTAAAATGCAGCTGGGTTACTAGTGTACTACCATAGTACAGTGTCACCTCACTTTCTCAACATGCAATTAAATGTAAGAGCTTATTCTCTTCTCGTAAACCCAAACCTGCGACAGACTTCTTGTGCTGGCACTTACATCACCCAAGGCTCGCTCCAGGCATGATGTCAGCTTCATTAATCCAAGAGCAACTTCTGTAGCTCGTGTATATTGTAGAACATCAAATATTTCAAGAAATAACTGTATGATGGGGGAGAGCAAGAATGCTGTGTTAAACAGTCACAAGGAACAATCAAATAGTCAAAAGCATAGAGAAAATTAAATATTCATCTGTTATAGTTGCTATATAAATGTAGAAAGAAAACCATGCCAAGAACATGAAAATGTAAATGCCTGGAAAGAAACTGCCCCAGAGAACCTCTTGTATTTTTGGTCACAACGTACCTAGTGCCTTACATCTATGAAAATTATCAATGATAACTTTAGATGCTAAAACTTGGTACTAAGCACAGATTATTAGAAAAACAAAATCCTACCATCTTAGGTTAGAATAGGCCGAGCACCTCACGTTCTCAGATTTAAAACCTAATTAGAAAGTCAGGAAAATTAGCAGCAACTATGTGTGAAGAATGACAATCAGTTACAAATTCTAAGTATTTTCGTACATTGATTATCTCTTCCATGTTCTGAAATTAAACTTCCATAAAGGGATCATATACCAAAATACAAATTGTAAACAGAAATATCCATACCTCTGTGCAGTTTGTCCAGTGGAACCACAAAGCATACTGAATTACAAACTGCTCCTTGGTCAGAGATTTGAAGTGCAAATAAACAGATTCACATACAGGTCCTAATGATCGTATACTTTTGATATAATCCACGCTTTGATCTTAAATTGAAAAACAGAAGGTGATTAGAGTACCAAACCTGCCAAAGATCCAATATTTTAAAGCTCACAGGGAGTAAAACCTTGTGTGCGCATTTCTGACAAAGAATTTTACCCGAACTGTTTTAGCACAATTAATACAGTACAATTTACTACCCAAAAGAGATAAGATACAGAAAAGTAAAAGTGCAGTGTGCAACCAGGTAACATCAAGTACCTTCACCAAAAAAAAAAACCACCACCACCAAACCAAAACCAAACCAACCAAAACCCAAAACACCACCAAAACCAACAACCAAAAACCAAACAAAAACACCCCACCACAGCAAAACAAAAAAACCCAAAACTTAATGGAAGAGGGTTATTATGTTCTGATTTTGTTGAAATGGGAAGAACCTACTAGTGCACACAAATTCCACATCAAGACGGAACCTAGTGCAGGCTCAGAGGGATCAGTCAACTTGCACCACCTATACCCTTTAAAGAATGCAGATGGATATGATACCTTACAGAGTGGTATCAACTGCTCCTCTTTGGTGGGACATTTTCATAGGAAAAGAAATTCTGATTTACTGAAAGATACTGCTTGAGGCAGAAGCATGTATCATTTCCAGAAATTAGTAACAGAGGTTGTATGATGCAATTTGGCAAATTAATTTGGCAAATTCAGTTAGCTCATCAGGGCATAAATACTTTGTTTTGATTAAAACAATTAACAAAATAATTATAAACTGTTCTACAAACAGGAGAACCAAACAGTAGTTCTGTACAAACTAAAGCTGGGGAAACAAAAAAGAGCCTAAGCAATAGCAGGAATACTGAGATTTACTGAAAAAAAAAAAAAGGAAAAAAGATATAAAGAACACAGAAGAAAGCAATGATGAGGTAGGAGAGAAGCAGAACTGAACCCTTCATGAACTGAACCCTTTATGTACAGGCACAAGAAGTTGAGAACCAAGATGAATGAGAAAGCAAAGGAGCAGCTACTTATGTAGCACAGATTACATGAATCTTCGAAGCCAGCAATAACCAAATACCAAATGTGGATGAAAAATTTAAAGCTGCTTGTAGATATGAACTGTATGTATTCTAATCTGCAGCAAATCTAATGCTGTACTGTGATAAAATGTTATAACCAAGCTAGGATTGCTATGAACTGTACTGAGATTCTGCATTCATGTATCACCAACCTGATTCAAGGTAACACACATGCTCTGTAACAGCTTGCCAACATACTTCGCCGTTTTCAGATAAAATATTATTAATATCATAGGTGTCTTTCTTCTCAAATCCAACTTTGCAAATCAGATAATGCACAGGCTGAGAAAGACATGTAGTGACTGAGTCTGACAACGCCATCTACAACACACACACACACAGAGAAAAATAAAGTCTTTGCATTAAGAAAGTATATGAAACAAAATTATCATTAAAGCATACCCATAAGCACAGACATACATATAGCAATACAGCATCTGTATGCAAGTTGTTAAGGTTAACAATGCAACTTCCAACTATGCATATAATGAAAGGAACTCTGAGCAGAACCACCTTGTGGAAAATTGAGGGGAAGAACTGCTCTACTTGCATAACGCCAGGATGGTACGCTTCTGAATGTCTGATCTACTGAACTGATACCAAGATAGACTGAAGCAAAAGCTTCTAGTTTATATATACCTGTTCTGTATAGTTTCTGAGTTTGCAGAGAAAATTATGCTACTTCAAATAAAACCAAGACCTTCAGTCCTTATGAACAGCAAAATCAGTGGGGGGAAAAGAGGGAGGGGGGAGAGGAAAATTACATGTGAATTCTGGTAGAACTGGTTGAACAATCTAAACATAAATATTATTTGCACATTAGTCTAAACAGAAAGATGGACGGATACAAAAGCACACATTTAAATTAATGAATTTGCAAAGATAGAAATACTTATGCTAAAAAGGAAGAAAACCCTTCTGATTTGGTAAAAAAAAACCCAAAACAACAAAAACTAATTAAACTCATTAATTAAACAGAAAAAATAGAAACGGTTTTAAAATGAAGTATCACAACGAATATAAAAAGACTCCCTTAAACTTTTTTTTTTCCTCTCTAATTAGGTGGTGGAATTGACCCTCACAGTACACGATTTCTGACTTCACGGCGTTAAGGAGACACTATATATACATATACGTGGGTAACAGCACACAGTAGGTATGACAGTCCGTACCAGGAACTGAAATTGGCTGCCATCAGGAGTATCCTATCTACTACTAAAAAAAATATACCTGTAATGTTCACAGAACATATAATTCAGCTCTCCGCCTTACTTTGCGCCCCGCTCCCCATTTCACTGTCAAAGACAGGAGGCAAAACATGATCACCGCCGCCCCTTACTGCCTAGAACAGACCCGATACGGAGCAGGCAGCTGCCGTTTGCAGGGAGCGTGACCAAGCCCCGGGTTCCACCTGTGGCTGACACCCCCCTCCCGCAGCACCAGCACGTTCCCCAGGCCGGCAGCAATCCCGGGCCCAAAGCCCCCGATCCGCCCTCTCTCTCCCACAGACCCCACGCCGCCATAGCGCTGTACTGCTATTACCTCCGCTACTGCTTGACGCAGCCGCTATACGTCACGACGCAGGGCTAGCGCGCGGCGTCACGCCTGGCTCGCGCGGGAAGAGCGCCGCCTTGGCAGAGGGCTGGCGCACGCCGCGGCGAGCGGAGGTGGATTTGCTTCGCGGCCCGTGGGCTGGAGCAGGAGGAGAGAAGAGAAGAAAGGCGAGGCGGCTTAGGTCTTCACTTCGCCTCCCCTCGGGGGAAGCGACGCTGTTTGCCGCAAGCCCCAGAGATGGGCTCCAAGGCTCAGAAGCTCGACGTTCTGGTGCGGCAGGGCTTGGTGGATAAAGGCAGCATGAGCGGCCGCCTGGCTGCCCCGGCGGGTTAAGCCGCGGGCGGCTGTGGTATACCAGCTGTGTGGGAAGGGAACGGGTGTGAGGCTGTGGTATACCAGCTGTGTGGGAAGGGAACGGGTGTGAGGCTGCGGTATACCAGCTGTGTGGGAAGGGAACGGGTGTGAGGCTGCGGTATACCAGCTGTGTGGGAAGGCAACGGCTGTGAGGCTGCGGTATACCAGCTGTGTGGGAAGGGAACGGGTGTGACGGCAGCGGTAACGGCCGCACTGCGTGCCCGTCGCATGGCCAGAGTGCGGGCTGGGTGAGCTGCGGTAGCCCATGGCCTCCCGCTCCGTTGTGGTTGCCTGAGGCAGGGGCGCTGGCTCGGCCTGTAGCGCTTCAGCTGCCGGTTGAAGGAGGGAGTGATGGGGCTTGGGCCCTTAGGAGGGACGATGCAATGGAAGAAGGCCCTGAAGCTTTGTTATCTCGGTATGTTTATTTCTGTGTGTCCAAGGTTAAGTCTGTATAGTAGCGTACAGTTATATAAGAACAGGATTTTGTACAGTCATAGAATCATAGAATAGTTAGGATTGGAAAGGACCTTAAGATCATCTAGTTTCAACCCCCCTGCCATGGGCAGGGACACCCCACACTAAAGGTGTCACCCAAGGCTCTGTCCAACCTGGCCTTGAACACCGCCAGGGATGGAGCATTCACAACTTCCTTTGGCAGCCCATTCCAGTGCCTCACCACCCTTACAGTAAAGAACTTCTTCCTTACATCCAATCTAAACTTACCCTGTTTAATTTTTAACCTGTTACCCCCTGTTCTAACACTACAATCCCTAATGAAGAGTCTCTCTCCAGCATCCTTGTAGGCCCCCTTCAGATACTGGAAGGCTGCTATGAGGCCTCCACACAGCCTTCTCTTCTCCACACTGAACAGCCCCAGCTTTCTCAGCCCGTCTTCATGTGGGAAGTGTTCCAGTCCCTTGATCATCCTCGTGGCCCTCCTCTGGACTTGTTCCAACAGCTCCATGTCCTTTCTATGCTGAGGACACCAGAACTGTGCACAATACTATAAGTGAGGTCTCAAGAGAGCAGAGTGCTACTTGTATGACTATTCATTTTATGCCAGTGTATATAGGTACTGTTGTTCCAACAGTTCCATGTCCTTTTTATGTTGAGGACACCAGAACTGCACACAATACTCCAAGTGAGGTCTCACGAGAGCAGAGTAGAGGGGCAGGATCACCTCCTTCAACCTGCTGGTCACGCTCCTTTTGGTGCAGCCCAGGATACGGTTGGCTTTCTGGGCTGCGAGTGCACACTGAAGCCAGCTCATGTTCATTTTCTCATCAACCAACGCCCCCCTAGTCTTTCTCCAGAGAAATCTGAATCTCTTCTCTGCCCAGCCTGTAGCTGTGCCTGGGATTGCTTCGACCCAGGTGTAGGACCTTGCACTTCGCATGGTTAAACTTCATGAGGCTGGCATCAGCCCACCTCACAAGCGTGTCAAGGTCCCTCTGGATGGCATTCCTTCCCTCCAGCGTATCAACCGAACCACACAGCTTGATGTCATCGGCAAACTTGCTGAGGGCGCACTCAATCCCACTGTCCATGTCAGCGACAAAGATGTTGAACAAGACCGGTCCCAACACGGATCCCTGAGGATCCCCCCCCTGAGGGACACCACTCGTTACTGGTCTCCAGCTGGACATTGAGCCATTGACCACAACTCTTTGCATGTGGCCATCCAACCAGTTCTTTATCCACTGAGTGGTCCACCTATCAAATTGATGTCTCTGCAATTTAGAGACGGATGTTGTGCAGGAAAGTGTCGAATGCTTTGCACAAGTCCAGGTAGATGACATCAACTGCTCTAGCCCTGTCCATTGGTTCCGTAGCCTCAGCATAGAAGGCCACCAAATTGGTCAGGCAGGATTTCCCCTTAGTGAAGCCATGCTGGCTGTCACCAAGCACCTTGTTGTTTTTCATGTGCCTTAGCATGCCTTCCAGGAGAATCTGCTCCAAGATTTTGCCTGGCACAGAGGTGAGATTGTCTGGTCTGTAGTTCACTGGGTCATCCATTTTCCCCTTCTTGAAAATAGGGGTTTTATTTCCCTTTCTCGAGTCATCAGGAACTTCACCTGACTGCCATGGTTTTTCAAATATGATGGGCAGTGTCAAATGTAAATCCTTTCACAAGGGATGCAAATATATAGAAAGGTAATTGTTGCGTTGTGCTGAAACTTAGAATCACCATATTTATATTGTGAAATAAAGAGGTAGGTTTATTTACAAGCCATTTGTGTAGAGGTATCAGTAATGTTTTTGGTTGTCTCTAATAAATTGCTTCTTGAACATGAGCAAATGATTATGAAGACTCCTGTCACTAAGCAGTTAAACTTGTAAGTAACAGCATTGTTAGAAGTAGTGCACTATAAGCATGAATTTCCTGCTGTCTGTACTGGTACAGCCTGAAGGTGCTGTGACTTATGCTGAACCATGTTAGCAAAGAATTGCCGTTTGCACTGAGACCTTTTTCACAGGTTCATTTCCACTGACATGGATTGGGATGCTCATTTGAGCAGCTAAGCTGGCAAACTTGAAGTGTTTTTTATTCTGTTAGGAGACCTGTGATGAGCAAGTAGGGGTTGTAGTCTTTGTAGATCTGAGTTTCAGTTAGAGGATAACAAGTATGCACAACCTAAGTGCAAATGTGTTTGCTCCTTGCATTTTTAGTGTAGTGTAAGTACTATTGGGAGTTTGAATTGTTGGCATGATATCAACACACACCTGCAGCCAGTTTGGCAGCCCCAGTGCAACTTCACTAGTTTTCAACAGCTATCTAATGGTAAGGAACTAAAGGAAAGATGTAGGTAATGTCCACAGTGTTGACAGGGTACATGACAGAATGTGTGTGATCTCATAGAGAAGAAAATGCATTGCTTCCCTTATTCTCAGACTCCTCTGACTGAAGGGCTTGTGAGCCCCTAAGCAATGCATCTTTTCACCAGACTCTTATATTATCCATAAGTGTATGATTGTTTTATTACACGTCTTAGTGTAAGCATTACACTGTGATGTTTTATCACCTTTGTGCTCTTTTCTGCTCTTCTGAAAAGGAACTGATGATTTTCTCTCACCTAAGTTCCAGCTGTAGTCAGGTAATGGAGCAAGAGACGAGTTAGCAGAACTTGAAAGCAGTTAGTTAGGAGGCAGATGGTATGGAAGACCACAGTCTGTAGCATTCGTTGTGATCTCATAGGTTGCATGTACTTTCCTCTCTTGTTTTGTTATCCTTTTACAGTTCTGTTTTAAGCCAGCCATGGAGGACAGCAGGTGACACCTTCTATGTGCATCATCAGACTTGCAGCTTGCATTCACAGAGGGCCAAATTTTATTATGTTTGTTGAAGAGAATGATCCAAGCTGGATGGGAAGAAAACGTGGATCTTCAGAGTTCTGATGACAAATAAAAAGAACTGCTCTGTTTTTAAGTTCCAAGCAAATTACAAAACTCACAAATTGGAGCGTAATTCCCTCCCCCTTTATTTTTATTAATGAGAAATTGAATCATTAGTACAGGATGCATTTGTTTGGTAGCTTCATAAGGAATGAGGACAAGAATGAAATTACATAGTAAATTAATTGAGCATATATTTTGTGTAGGCTGTTTGAATGAAAATGTAGAAGTTGTGGTTTACAGTTTTGGACACATGTTAATGTCTATGTGGTTTTACTTGGGAAGTGGAGTGTATTCAGAGTGCTAGTATGATGTGTCTGATTGAGTTTACATGCAAACTTCATTTGGGTTTTGGTTAAAACGAAGTCAAATTTAGGCAGAAATTAACTACTGTTCTCTTTTTTTCAGTCAATACAGTAGTGTCAAAACAGCCAGAAGATGATACACCCATTTTCTAGCTTTTCTGCTTTTTTTGTCACATGTTCCTAGACAAATTGTGGTGCTTTTTTGCTCTTAACTGTAAATCATAAAGTATTATTTAAACTGTTAAATGCTAAAATATTGACATGTGAAGTAGAGTTTTTTTATTATTTTTCACAGGTGAAAAGAAAAAAGACACAGTCTTATTATGAAGTTTCAGGTCTGGCTCCAGTGGAAGAAGAGCAAGCTAGTGATCCAGCAAAATCTAATCTAGCATCCAAAGATAATAAGGCAAAGATTAGATATGCTAATACTCACAGGCTGGAGCCGTACAGTAGAGTTCAGGACTACTTAATAAGAAACAAAGCTCAAGCAGTACTAACGGTATAGTATTTATTTTAATTGTCTGATTTTATTGCAAAAGTAGTGTGTTTTGCAAATATTAATGGAACAGTGTAAGTTGCATAAACTTAGAGGTATGATAAATCTGCAGACTTTGGGTTTTTGCACACAAATGTAGAATGAATGCACTCTGTTTTGCTAAGTGCAGGTGGCCCTCTGCAAGGTCACCATGGTGTGATCACATGCTATTAAGATGGAGCTGAAGCTTCTTAAACTCTTAGCCATTTCTAAATCAAATTGAGCTATAGCAAACTTAAGAGTACACTAATCTGCATCCAGTCATTAAAAGATCCTCACCTTGAATTTGTGGGATTGCACTCCTTCAATTAGTTATACTACTATCACATGACCACAAAATATACTTGGTGTCCTTGACAGTCTGACTGGCATGTACAAAAATTAAGCAACAATAAGGGAGAACAATCTGTTATAGCATCATAGAATGGTTTGGGTTGGAAGGGACCTTAAAGATCATCCAGTCCCAACTCCCCTGCTATGGGCAGGGACACTTTCCACTAGACCAGGCTGCCACATCCAGCCTGCCCTTGAACACTTCTAGTGATGGGGCATACACATCTTCTCCAGAAAACCTCTTTCCATGTCTCGCCACCCTCATTGTAAAAAATTTCTTCCTTATATCCAATCTCAATCTACCCTCTTTCAGGTTAAAACCATCTTTCCTTATCCAGTCACTGCAGGTGCAGGTGCAAAAAGTCTACTTTATCCTCCTTATAAGGCCCATTTATATATTGAAAGGATACATTAAGAGCGGCCTGAGCGAGGACTGTGAACAATTTTGTTTTGAGCAGGAGGCTGGCCTAGGTACCTCCAGGAAACCCTTCCACCCTAAGTCCTTCTAGAAGTCTACAAAAATTGCTGTGAAATTCTGTTTAGCTTCAGCCTTCTGCCTTCTCATGAGTAAAAGAGAAAAACAGAAATGTGGCCAACACAAGGATGTTCCTCCCTGCTGAAGCTCCAGGTTGTCCTTAGTTGTTCACCACACTGGTGGCAGAGGACAGCATAATATCTTGAGATATGTAGCTGTTAGTGATAACTTGAATAGATAAACCTAACTCTTGTAATTCTGCTGTCTGGACGCCTTGGTTATTTGGAATAGGTATTTGTAGTGCTGTTTTCCAGTGAACCAAGTTCAGATGATGGAGAATACACTCCAGTTTGATAAATAGAAATAGGCCGGCTGTGTTTGTCACTTTCAAAAAACAGATAAAACATTTAAGAGCAAAAACAGTGCAGCCTTTGCTGTTTGAGAGCACTGTGTATATTGATGGTTGTACTCATTAGTTCTTCTAATGCTCTTGTAACAGAAATGACTCCAAACGTTCTTCAGCAAAAGACTACCAGGATGAAAAACTTAAGATTTTTCCAAATTGTTTTTGATAGAGTAAACTTCAACAAGACGAATATGATGGAGCTTCTAGTCTCTCCTTGTGTGCTTTGATCTCAGAAGAAATATTAAAGGCTGTGAAGGAATTGAACTTTGATCGCTATAAATATGTGGTATCAGTACTAATTGTGGAAAAGGCAAATCAGGCAATGGAAGTGAGCAAACATATTACTCATAATATCTCTTGCAAACTGAAAATAATTTTTAGAATTGTTGTTAACTCCTAGGCATTCATGCACATTCAGCAGCTCTATTAGTTCGAGGTGGTCTTGGAGCCTTTGTGTTCTTTATGTGGAACAGTAGGCCAAGGGACAGTTGAAAGTGCTGCTGCAATTCTGCCTAACCCTTGTGGAAGTTGTAGTCTGAGACTGGCAATAGTGGTAAGCAGCCTATGCTGCTCTTCCCCATCAGGCAGTTATTTCCACTGTGTGCTGTGCCAGCGCAATTGCACAACTGCAGTGATACTCTTTTTCCAATGTGTTTTGATCTCCACTTGGGTTGTTACATTCAGCATAAAATGCTGTGTGGCTGCAGCTTGGGGAAGGGGTAACAAAGAAAGGGATGGGAACTGTTTTAACTGTAGCTGCCACCAGCCATGCTTCTGGAACTACAAATTAACATTAGTAATCTGAATTTGGCACACCCAAAAGAAAAGTATACTAGATATTCCTATGTTTGTATATAAATGTACATGTATTGCAAGCTCCTGCTGACATTCGGAACACCTTTAGCTATCTTGCCAGTTTCAGAGCACTTCTGTTTAGGAGTGTTTTGACATCAGCTCTTGAACCTGATGAAACCTGATGAGACTATACATGGTTTTAGTGGGTTACATGAAACAGTTTCCGAAGGGTTGTCATCTTGAGTACCAAAGCCGGGGGGGGGGCTGCTTTTTCAACAAGCCAACAGCATTAGGACAAGAGGACGTACCCGCTTTTCTGGTACTGTCTCAAGGCATGCTGCCCTGAAGTTGTCTTTTGACTGAGGAGCTGTAGGATAGAGCAGGTAACTGAAACGGTCCAAGTTGTTTTGTTTGTTTTTTCTCCTGACGAATGTGTTTATTCCATAAGCCAACTCACATCTTTTAGCTTTGAAAACAGTTTTGTCAAAAAAGCTGAGAACCCAGTGAATGGTCTGAGATGGACTGGAGTAAGCTGCAGGTGGAGGAGTGGGAGAAGTGACTTCTTTGTTACATGTTCCGCAAACTGATGTCTACCTGGCTTTTGAAGGGGTGCTGTTATGGTACGCTGAAGTGCCAACAAGAGAACATGAGAGAATTGAAGTTTTGATGTAGAGATTTTTGGATCTTTTGGGGTGTGAGCGAGAATGTGTATTTTAACATTGAATAGGCCCTGTTTATTCTCACTGTGATTTTGCAGATGTTACTATTTGTAAGTCTTGTAATGCAGTTGTATCAGCATTTATATAATGCTGTGTGTTCTACAGAGACATACAAAATCTGTGCTGTATAGAGATTCACAAATAACTTTTTCTTTTCTTTCCTTTAGGTTGCCAGCAGATGGGTCTGGGATGTTCAGAGAGACACTTGGGTTTCAGCTGAATATGAAACTAACACATTTTTTGCACTGGCTTTGGTAGTGGCTTGTTATTACGAGTAATACTCTAAAAGCCACACCTGGTTTTGGTATATTAAAAATTTCCAGAATGTCATTATTTTAGCACTAATTTTTGCCCTAATGCTCTTAGTTTGTTGAAATTGACATACAGTTGAGATAATTTTGCTCATTTTTCTGTGTTAAAAAAACCCACAACCCAACAAATGAAAGAAAAAGTTTTGAAATGCATATGATTCCGTACATATGAGCTTCAGCTGCTGGAATGCTCTGCTATGGAAGTTGAAGCAGCTTGATAGGAGACCAAACTTTGCCAGATTTTTAATGTTGCTTGTCTGTTGCATGCCTAGGGTTGATAATGAAAGTTTACAATAAATGGCAGGTATCACTATTCTTAAAAAACATTCTCTTTGTAAAAAAAAAATGCCAGTGTTCAGTCTTTTCCTAGTTGTACCTATGGTAAAATGCCAGTCTGTGTAGAAACCTGGCTGGGAGGGCATCTATGCTTCACACACCTAAAGATTTGTGGACATTTCCAGTCGTTTGCCTTGCATGAAGTGCGAGTTCAGCCATCAGCTTCCCTGATGTTTGAACTTCCCTGATGTTCCCTTCATGTCGAGTGTCAGCTTCGCTGGGGCTGATGGCTGAATGCTTAGTCAGGTGGGTTTGATCGTTTTGGTCTAGTGGCTTCTGATGGCGATGGCAGAATGGTGGTGTCAGTGTCAAGGATATTGATAAAAGGGCCTTAATGGGCAACAATAGCGGTGACCATGTTTTGAAAAATAAGTCTTTGGTAGATACGTTCGGTGTGCAGACATCTGCTTTGGAACAGCCGTGCGTGGAAGCAGAGCGCCAATGCCTTTTCCACATCCCTTGTATTGTGGAGAGCTGCAAGTGAGCGTGTGCAAGCACCAGTGGGCTGTGGTGCTTCTGAGTGCCCCTTGGCCTGCTCGGGTTTGGCCGCATATGGGTAGAAAGCGATGGGAGGGGGACCGGCCCGAGGTGCGGGCGGCGTTTCGCTGGGGGGGCGAAGTGAGCCCGTGGGGGCTGCGGCTGGGGAGCGGCTTCGCGCTTTGTTCGCCGGAGCGGGGACCCGTGCGCGGCCACGGGGCCCGGCGCGTGCGCGCGCTATAGGCGGCGGCGACAGGACGGGGGTCTTTGCTGTCGGAGGGGGTGGTGGGGGGTGGTGGTGTCCGTGCTCCGCCTTCGCCCCGCCACTGCGGCGGGAGCGGGACGAGGCACCGCCCGGCGCGCAGCTGGTTCGGCGCTTCCGCGCAGCGGCGGGGCCGGCTGCGAGAGCCCTCCTCGCAGGGGCGAGCGCGCCCCCCGCCCCCCGTGCCCCCCTCCTGCGGGGGCTGATGGTTCACAAACGTAGCTCGTCCCCGGCTGACGCTCCCGGAGACGGGAGCCTGGCGGCGGAGCAGCCCAGCTCTGCCGCGTGCCAGCTCCCGTGCCGGTCAACGGCGGCGCCTGGCGCTCACCACCGCGGGGGGATGCTGCCCCTCCGCCCCGCGCTGCTGCCCAAGCGATACCGGGGCGGCTCGGCTCCGCGCTCGCGGCCGGGCCGCGCGGCCGCCCGAGCGGCGGCGGCGGCGGCAGGAGGAGGAGGGCGCGGCGGCGGCGGCAGCAGCAGCACCACCATCACCATCACAGGCGGCGGCGCCCCGGCGCTGGGCCCACGCGGCGGCATTGGCCCGGGCCGGCTGCCGGTCCGGCGGCGCGGGCCGGGGTCGCCGCGGGCTGCCCGGAGGGGGGCGGAGCAGGAGCTGCGCGAGCCGCCGCGCTCGTGCGCGAGCTGGCCGGTAGGGGCCGTTGCCACCCCCCGCAGGGGAAGGGGGGGCGGAGCCGGGCGCGGCGCGAGGCCGGGTCGCGGGGCGGCGGTGCCGCTTGTCCTCGCTCAGCCGCCGGCGGGCCCCGCGGCGGTCATGGCGGCCGTCCTGTCACCGCGGCTTTGCGACAGCGACCCGGCTACGCCAGGCGCACAGTCCCTCAAGGTGAGAGCATGTGGCGGCCGCGGGTCTGCGGGCTCGGCGCGGAGGCCTGGGGCTGCGGTGCAACAGCCGCTTCGGCGGGAGGCCTGGGCTGCTCCTCATTACCCTCGCGCGAACTCCGTGACCCCCTCTTTGGGTTCACCTCACGCCTTCCAGGGGATCTAGGAGGCGGGTTGGCGGCTCCCCTCCGAACTCGCGCTGTGGGTCCAGGCTGGTGGGGGAAAGGCCCCACTCGGTGCCCGGAGCCGCGCTGAAAGTCCGGAGGCGCCTTCCCAGGTGCGGCGCCCAGCAAAGTTTGTGTCTAGTGGCTGGCTCCCGTGTGCAGGCCCGTGGAATCGCACCCGCGCTTCCCAGGCAGAGCTAGGGCTTGCGGCGCCGAGCACTTGCTGCTCGGGTGCGGGTGGGCAGTTACTTTTTGAAAGACATCTTGGTCATTCAGGCTCTCTCATTGCATAATAAGGCATCGTTACGTAGATCTTGTAGTTGATAGGCGTACCAGGAATGCGTAATGTAACCTTGTTTTGTAAGGACTAACAGAAACATGCGCTTTCAGGGGAAGAAGGGGCCTTTTTTAGCAATGTTTGACTTTCGATGTGGAGAAAGTCATAGACGGTCCCTAATTACTAATCTTGTTTACAGTAGCAGTGGTTGAAGTACAGTGTATCTTTCTTAGACCACAGTGCAGATGTTTTCACTTCTTTCTGAAAAGTCCTCTGCAAGAAGCTGCCTCATTTCCCGGGGCGTTTTGTGAGCCTGTGTGATAGAGTTTGCTGACGTTTTCAGCAAATGAGAAACCGAAAGTGGAAATGGAGGACATTGCTCTTCCGTGTGGTGTGGATGTGCACATTTTAACAGTACTGGATTTAATAAAATCACAAAACAAAAGCAGAAACTGATGTGAGGCACGTCCTCTTAATTGTCAAATTGAGATCTATCTTTTAAAGATGTTTTGAAGTTTCTTGGTAGCTTTGGTGTAGCAAAGCTTGGCTTTGGCCCTGCTCAAGTTTTTCTCTATTAAGCTGAAAACGTTAGGCATACATTCATGTTCTGGGGGGGAAGTAGGGGTGAACTACTGACGAGGCATAGCTGTGTCACAGGTTACCCTGGCGCTATACTGTTTTGATTGGAGATGGCTGCTTAGTTTGTCTAGTTGGATTTATACAAAGTATTCTCAACAATAGTAGGAAATAGTACTAGTAGTCATACTGGTGGAGATGCCGCTTACCTGATTATTTAAGTATAGCTTAATTAAGTTCTGTTTCAGTTTTTGCTGTTGTGTGAAAGATACTTATGAAATGTATTATTGCTAGTCCACAAGAAAGAAAGAAAAAAAATGTGAAAAACATTAAATAAACTAAAAATAGGGGAAACAAAAGCCTGGGGTCTGTCTTGGCTATAGTACTTTGAAATGTTCTTTATCAAAAGTAATCTCATGTGCTGTAGTCTTTTAAAATTATATTTTAAGTAGTATATAAAACATACTAGAATGAAGACATTAAGGTAAGGTAGACCTAATAATTGTTATATAAGTGTGTATAGTTTGGCTTCGTCCATTTATTTTTGGTATGTTAATTCTTTCTTAAACTTTTCTCAGAAGGTACAAAATGTGACTCTTCTGTAGTGCTCCACTTCAGAGTTTCGATTACCTAGAGAGCTATCTTGTTCTTGGCTCTACTACTGGTTACAACCGGTGAATCACTTGAACACTTCTGCCTTCCTTTTCTCAGTTATAGTCACTAAATGCTTTGAGAGTTGATGATGTAGGTAGGAGTTGTATAGCGTTACTGGATAACAAAGCAGTAAAAAACACAGAAGCATCAACTGAATCCTGGTCAGCTTGATTTTACAGAACTCCTTGTTTTGTTTTGTTGTCATTTTATTCTCTTTCTTTATATAGATCTCACGAAATCTGAATAGTGACATCTGTAAGTTAAATTCTAAATGTTTGCCTGTAATAGCTTTGTTCTCTTCTATATCTGTTGCAATACAATTTTTTTCTTTTTTGTTATTTATAGTTTTCCCACAAAAGACAAGTCTTTGCTGCTTACTGTAATCATATATTTTTGTGAACTGTGTACTAGTCCTTTAATTTTAACTGTGTGTCCATAATATTTTCCTTGATTTTGTGAGTATCAGCTCTCAGCAAAGCCTTGGTGGTTTTGCTGTGCCCTTGCTTTTGCGAGCTAGTCTGATAGGTGACTTAGTCTTGTCTCTAACAATAATCAGTGAGGGAAGTATGCTGTGTCTACAGCTGTCTGGCAGTGCTAATGCCAAGGTAGTTTACATCAAGAACAGTGAACTGAACTTGGTGGTCAGAGCTATAGCTGTCTATTCGGTGCTCCACCTACATCACAGGTGAGAAACTACCTAATCCTTCTGTGCCACTGCGTGTCATACAGCTAGTTCATAGCTAAGAATAATTTGCTACATAAACTGTCCTATGAGTTGTTAGTGAAGAGCGTTATTCAGTAGCTTGGTAGTTCAGGTATATTTAAAATCTAGATTACCTCGCAATTTTTTCTGATGTTTTACATTATCTGCTAATTACTCTGAATTCCTTTAATATTCATCTTTATTTTCATTTTAGGATGACACAGAAGAAAATTCCAATGATGGCAGCCAGCCATCCAAAAGACGACGCATGGGCTCAGGGGACAGTTCTCGGAGCTGTGAAACTTCTAGCCAAGACCTTGGGTAATATTTTTTTTTTATTTTTTTAAGAGTTCCTACTTTTTTATTGCTGGTCTTACTGTATTGTTTGATATGTGTAAGAATTAGTTCTTCCTCCTTTGCTTGTCCTTGTTCTTCATACATCTTTCTGAATTGAGGCAGTGTCCTGTGAGTAGCCAGCTGTATTTTTCTCCCAGCATATTTTAAGAAATTTTATTGTAAAACAGCACAGAATGTGATGCATCTAATTTACAATCAGAAGCACAGCTGACATGTTTTAAAATGTTACATAATTTTTAAACTTAACTTTGACACTTGAGTAGCTGCTTTTCCTGGTGTTCTGTCTGCTGTCAGGGGTATCCCTTTGCATTCTGTCTCTCAGCATATTGATGAATGAGGGTTTGGAGAAATATATGCAAAGTGGGGTGTAACAAAGTGACTTTGAAGTGGATGAACAGGATGCAGTGTCCTAAAGTGCTTGTCCAACTTCATATAAATAGAAATTACTGAATTTCTAGAAATATAAGTGGCCCTCTTAAGGATTCTTTGATTTGTTCTTACATTGTTCTTAGATACAGCTATTTTCCTGCTGAAAACTTGATAGAGTACAAGTGGCCACCAGATGAAACAGGAGAATACTATATGCTTCAGGAGCAAGTCAGTGAATATTTGGGTGTGACTTCCTTTAAAAGAAAATACCCAGGTATTTATTTTTGAAGCTTTTCTTCTA